CATTAAGTAACACTATGGGTGTGTAGTCATCTATGTGTTTATCACCGGCTTGCTTAATATTCTGAATAAGCTTGTTAAACACATCTAGGTTCTCATCTATGTCCTTAGACAGGTCAAGCCTAAATCTAAAGAACTTCTCAAGCAAAAACAATTTACCAGGCAAAGAAGTATCGGTATACGTCTTATCTAACTTGTCCCACAAAGCCTTTGCAGAATCTATAATACCCACCTTCCTGAGTACTGAATCAGAAAGGTTCAGGTATATAGAGGAACAAGCAGTTTCATTCATTTCATCGCGCTTAGCAGCATCCTCAGAGTCTAAATAGAGACCAGTCACTGCTCTATAGACTTTCTGTTGGATCAACACACATTTGATTTTCTGTTTCCAGATATCAAAATCTGTCTTTCCGTTAAATGGAAGCATGCCATATTGATTGACAGCCATATTAACCGGAAAGCAAGCACAACACGCAAGAGAGTAAATAAAAATTATCAAGCAAAGAATAGTACGAAGCAACTAGCACGAACAAGCCGAGAAGACCAATGAACGCAAGGCTCGGGTACAATCTCCTTGTTCTTTCGTACAAGCAAGATAAAATTTTTATTTACTCAACAGACAGATAAATGATTAATTATAACCTATAGGGCTATCAATTGTACGAAGCAACTAGCACGAACAAGCCGAGAAGACCAATGAACACAAAGCTCGGGGTACAATCTCCTTGTTCTTTCGTACAAGCACAAATAGGCTAGAATTAAATCAATAAGCAAAGAAACTGGATTTAAAACTAATCCGGACAGAAATATTCCCAACTTCGGACAACAAGTATCCAAACAAATATTCTTAATCGGAGAGTTTATCCACGAATCAATACAGAAAAATCAAAACTTAAAACGGATTAAATTTAAACCGAAAAGAGATATTCACAACTTTGGACACCAAGTATCCAAACAAAATACTCTTAACCGGAAAATTAATCCACAAATCAATCAACAGAAAAAACAAAATTCAAACGGATTAAATTTAAACCGGAAGAAATATTCACAACTTTGGACAACGAGTATCCAAACAAAATATTCTTCAACGGAAAATTAATCCACGGACCAACAAACAAGCAATCACAATTCAACTAACAAGCAAAGAGCAATTCAACTTGAAATTAAAACAAATGAACTACGAATAAGAATCACACAAAGGATTAGTAAACGTACCAGGGGCCGGGCACAGCCGGCTTCCAAGACCACGCAGGTCAGCAGCGGGGGAGCGGGGGAATAAAAAATCCGGTGGCACTCTGGTACTCCAAGGGTGTTTATCGCCAATTTACCTGAGCGGGGCCCGAGGTTGGGTTACCCGACTTACCGTAGGCAGCGTGGGCTGCTGTAGAGCACGGCGGCAATGGACTGGACTGGCGGCAGCAGACTGAACCGGCGGCAGCAGGGCTGGACCGGTGATGGCAGCAGCTTCTGGACTCCGGCAGAAGCTCTGGCTGGCTGGTTTGGCTCCTGGCAGACGGCGGCAGCACCCCTGGACCTCCGGTGACTTCTGGACAGCAGCGGACGGCGTCGACGCGGCGGCAGGCGGCGGCGTGGCGGCGGCAGACCTCTCCCGGCTCTGATACCACTGTAAGATGGCTACTCTTCCAGCTCAGGTCTCAATCTTCATCCACAAAGGATGATAAACCACTAAGAATCACTAAAGGGGGAATTGGGCGTCAGCCTTCAACCTTATTTCCGGCCAAATCAGTTTTGGCTCCACCGAGGAGCAAAGGGACGAGGTGCGTGAAAAGAGTATCGGCCAGCCCAATCGACAGGGAAGAGAATAGCTTAAATAGGAGAAGCAATAAACTATAGAAGGCAACTTACCTTCAAGGGATTGATGCCAGAATAGCACTGGCTGGAACAAGGAAAGAATCGCACCAGAGGGAGTAAGCCGATCAAGAGACAAGTCGGTGCAAATGGATGGATTTAAGAATGGGTCTGGTGCAACCATACCAATATTGGACTTAGGGAAAAATAAGTGGGCCAATACCTAACACCCATTAGATATTCTTTGTCAGAGTTTGCACTTATCACAGGGTTGAAGTGTTCATTTCTCAATCCAAATTGGGATGACGCAAAAGTAGAGGTTGATGGAGAAAGTTGGGCATCTTTTGTTGAAACTCACTGGCCAGAGGCAATTTGTGAAGAAAGTTGTGATGTGGTAAATTATCATAGTGTAGTAAATAGGTTCACACAACTTTGTAAGAATCTCCGCAAAGAAAAAAACGAGAATGCAAAAAAAAACGTGATTGCTATGGCGAAGTTAATGTTCGTAGTCATGGTATTGTATGCCAAGGAAGATAGGAAAGCACAAATTCCAGAGTGGATGCTTGCAAAGGCTGCATATAAAGAAGACTTTGATGCCTTTCCTTGGGGAACATGGGCTTTTATGCATTCTCTTAAGGTGTTGGAAAAGAACCTTTGTGGGAAGATGAAACGACTTGACGAAGGTGGCTCGAAATCTTTCACATATGGTGGATTTGTACTTGCGATACCGGTAAGAAAAATGTGAAAATTCTTTATTGTACTATTTGAAATCATGTTAGTGAAACTTTTGTCTGTGAATATGCAGATTCTTGTGTATGAGTGCATTCCATCTTTTGCTACTAAATTTGCAAGAAGGAGGCCTCAAATGATACCCCCCGTCCCACGCATTTGTTTATGGAAGACAAGGTTTAGCAAAACAAAACCAACAAATGTTGAGGTTAACGAGGCTTTGCTTTCTGTGACCGTAAGTATATGACAACATATATGCATAAAATTGGGTTATGTTTATTATATTTTGAGTGTTGACCTTCAATCAATTAACTCAGGAATTACAAAGTATTCTTGTTCCGGATGAGGTGGAGACACGGGCAGAATGGATGAGCACTTTCCATAGTTTGATTAGTACCCGTCATGATGCGATAGATGATTATGTTAAGGTGCTAGAAGAATGTGTGACCACCGTAAGTCTAAAAAGGTATGTCACCTTAAAATTAAGTCTTGTCCGGCTAAATTTCATAAATAACATTTTTCTACGTGTGAAATTGAATGATAGGGAACATAATTATGATACAAAGAGGAGCGAGAAGAAAATTAAGACTTCCTCACCAAAAAATGTACCCCTTGCACCACATCTTGTAAAAGACACTGCCTCATCTCCATCAATTGGTGAAGGACCTCCAGTCCCACATGTTGGGTGTTGTCTTCAGCCAAAAAGCATGGCCACACCTTCTGGACACTCTCACACTCATGATAGTGAGTCAGAATACCGCATAAAAGAGTATATCCATAAGAAGATTGATTTATTGAGGGATGAATTCGAAAGCAAAAATGATGTTATTATAAAACTTCTTGAGAAGGTATGTATTGTGCTTGCTTATTTTAAAACAATATCACATATCATTGATATTGTAATAAATTATAATTATCCAATAAATGTGTTTGTAGCTTATTGCGAGGGGTGACGTGGTAGAGGTAGAGAAGGTTACCTCCAATAAAATCAGTGAAATGTCATCCATGAAAAGAGAGGTATGTTTGTATGGTGCACTTATCATAGTAAACTTTTAATCATTATAATTAATGTAAGATGTATTGCAGAATGTCGAAAAGGAAAATACGTTGGAGGATAATATGGTGGCGGATGACCTCGTGTTGGATGAACAAGACGTATGTCTTACTTAAAAATACTCCCTATTTTACTAACTTTTATATGCATTACACTATTCATTGAACCGTAGGGTATGTAATGTAGTTCAATTTAAATGCAGCATCTTAGAGATGAAAATGTAGCCGGGGAACAAAGTAGCTTATACCATGTGCGTGGGGAGGAAGAGGTTGGAAAAGAGGTGAATTTTCAATTAAAATTTACGACACCACTACCTTCACTATAATTTTGGTCTATTTACTTTACAATATTACATTTAGGTATTGGGCCGTGGGCGTAGAAAGAAAGTTGAATCTAGTTTACTACACACACCATGGACTCGGAATAATCCAAAAAAAAAAGCCAAAACGGGTGATTTCGTTATCAACACCAAAAGAAGAAAAGCTAAGGTTTGTGGAGTTGTTAATACAACAAAGGCTAGAGCAGAAAGTTGGCATTGAATGTCACATGGAAGAAAGGTTTGAGATTTCTGGCATAGGGAAAAGATGGTGGACTCAATTAATCACACCTGGTGAATGGATAGAGACAACGGTAAGTTGGAGTGCTCAAACACACTAAATTTATGGAGTTGTTATATTTTGAAACTCACATTTGTTGTATTTCTTATTATTGCAGCATATGGGAGAGTATTTATATGTTTTGCGGAGACGAGCATTTTATGAATCTCATTTAATGAAGATGGATACCTTTGTTTTGAATGAATACTTCAGTGCATGGTGCGAAAGAAGTCATATAACATATCCTGTCATTGGGGACCGTCTTGAGAAGTACATCAAAGGGGAGCTTAAAATTCCGTTTTTAAAACCTTGGACGAAGGAGATTCGGTCCGTTTATTTTCCATATAGTATAGATTCTGGACATTGGGTTGCGATTAGAGCAGATTTTGATACAGGGTGTTTGACTGTGTTTGATTCACTCAAGTCACACTGCACGGACAGTTATCTTGATATTTTGTTGAGTCGTCTTCGGAGGATATTTCCTGTTTTAGCAATGACTTCTGGACTCGACTCACATACAATGACTACAAAGCCAATATGGGATGTGTGTAGACCTTGTGTTCCACAACAAACAACTAATGATTGTGGTGTTTTTGCATTAAAGTTTATTGAACTTGATATGCAAGGTGTTGGATTTGACAGCTTGAAGGGGCTTCGGAGGGAAGATATGAAAAGACTTAGGTTACAAATTGCATATCACATTTGTAAGGAGATTAAAAACAAACCATAGTTTGTATATTATATGTATTTTATTTATTTAGTGAATGTATAATTACGATTTATGTCGAGTAGCTTTTATGTGCTTGATTATGTTACTAAGTATTTCTGAGTATTTTATATGATTGAAATTATCATGATGGTTGAAAATGGGTAGAACATGATGATCGAAAATGTTATTTATGTTTTTTAAGGGTAGAATTTAGCATACAATGAGTAGTAAATGGTGTAGGATGTAAAGTGGTTGAAGTTTTGCACTGTATAAAAGTTGAGTGATAGCCTAAGTAATGAGATTGAATATCAAGGTGAAATTAAAAATTTAGTTTTTTCTATTCAATTTGTTTAAGAAAATATTTGGATTTCGAAACCACTTGCAATTAAAAACTACATTTAACTCCTACATAGTACATACTATACTCATTCTACCATCTACTTCTACTCATTCAAATGACTTCCGACGAACGTGAACAAAGCAAGAACACAGAGGAAGTTTTTGGAAAGCCAGAGTTTTTTGAGCTCAAACAATGTGAGTACGTTTGTGAGTGGTGTATCGTTGTAAATCACCTGCTAGCTACTTATAGGAAGGACTTGGAGGTGTGTTAATGGAGGTTTAATGGACATGAACATTGGGCGTTAATGGCCTTAATGCTGTAACATCCTGGCAGCAGCCGCCTGCCAATGGGATTGCACCTGGAGCAGCAGCCTCCTGCCAACGGGATTGCACTGGGAGCAGCAGCCTCCTGCCCGAGCGGCATTCCAACGAGTGACTTCGAGAATCAATTTCTCATTCACCCGTTATCCGTTTTGAGCGTACCATATATCCGTTGGAAGGGAGAATGTCGACAATGGAGATGCTAAAGAAGAAGGTGCTGGTGATTGGTGAGCTACGTTGAACTCAAAGAGGAAGATTTGAACGTGTTCCAATGAAGTTCAAACTTCAAAGCATAGCTTGTTCGAACGCTTCATGGAGGAGAATATACGCTAGGAGAAGGGCATCCATCGGAAGAGAAGAAAAAGTTTGATTTGTGAAGGATGCCCCTAATAATAATAAACATTATGAGGTCACTTTGATAAAAAAATCTCTTTTAGGGGCATTTTAAAAATTTGTCCTGTAAACATGATATTGTTTGCATACATAAAGTTTTACAAAAATATAAAATTTTAATAGCAAAACGTTTTCCGACCTACAATTTTTGTTCAATTGATTCAAATAGTAAAATTAATATCTCATTGTTAAATTACTTTTTTATAGCTTCAACTGTTTATTTTGAAAATAGGTTTGAAATAACAACAAAATTAAACACTAAATGATATTTTGTTCATTCTACATCATATTCTACACATTTCTCTATTTAGAAACAATCACAAAAACGTATGTATATATATATATATATATATCATTATAATACTAGTTCAATTTTATAATTACCATAAAATCAAACATTCGATCATGAGGGAAAAGATTTTTAACTATTACTTTAATGGTATTCTACCCATTCTTTAGTGATATTCTACCCATTCTACACAATCTTCTATCCATTCTACACTCATTCTACTTACTGTTGGAAAATGTGTTAGTAAATTGCATTAAATGGTCATTTTGGTGAATTTTTTTTGAGTGGGGTCCACTTCCGATTTGGGTTGGGTCTAATTGGTTTTGGATTGTCCTTGCTAAGGGCTACAATTCGATACGTGGTACACTCAAAACGGATAACGGGTGAATGAGATATCGATTTTCGAAGTTTACCTGTTGAAATGGAGCAGCAGCTGGCTGCTCCAGCAGCTCACATCCGGCAGGACAGTCCGCAGCAGCCTGCTGCCGGCAGGACAGTCCGCAGCAGCCTACTGCTGGGACGTCTGCAGCAGCCTACGTTTGTGAGTGGTGTATCGTTGTAAATCACGTGCTAGCTACTTATGGGAAGGATTTGGAGGTGTGTTAATGGGTGTTTAATGGACATGAACATTGGACGTTAATGGCCTTAATGATGTAACGTCCTGGCAGCAGCCGCCTGCCAACGGGACTGCACCTGGAGCAGCAGCCTCGTGCCAACGGGGCTGCACCGGGAGCAGCAGCCTCCTGCCGTAGTAGCATTCCAACGAGTGACTTTGAGAATCAATTTCTCGTTCACCCGTTATCCGTTTTGAGCGTATTATATATCGAATTGTAGCCCTAAGTAAGAACAATCCGGAACCATTTTGACCCGATCCAAATCATAAGTGGACCCCGCTCAAAAAAATGCCCCAACATGTGACCATTTCATACAATTTATTAACGCATTTTCCAACAAGAAATTTGTAGAATAGGATGTAGAATGAGCATAATAGCATTTGGTGTTTAATTTTTTTATTGTTATTTCGGACCTATTTTTAAAAGAAATAGTTGAAGCTATAAAAAATAATTTAACAATGAGATCTTAATTTTACTACGGAGTATTTGAAACAATTTAAAAAAAATTGTAGGTCAGAAAACCATTTGCTATTAAAAATTTATAATTTTTTAAACTTTAAATATGCAATGTAGAAATCATACTCCGTATGAAAGATCATAAAAAATTATGAATTTTGATATACTTTTCGTATAAGTAGGAGTACAAATAGAAAATACAAAATTGTAACGGAAAATGAGATTTTGCCTTTTCTTTCCTTTTGCGTAGCAAACTGCTACCCCAATTCAATGAATGCAGCAAACATTGAACTCCCAACACTTCCCCCCTTTTCAACCCCTTAAAAACGTACGAGATGGTTTATTATCGAATAGATGAGTATAATGAATTAAAACACTACTTTTAAACTTTATATACTTAACATTGGTGTCATAATGAAAATCATAAAAAAATTATGAATTTTAATATACCTCAAATAAAAATTAGATTACAAATAAAACATTATGTCATTTTAAAAGCAATGAGAGTTTCTTTTTTGGCGAGCAGTTTCCTCGTTTTGGTGATCAGCAACCTACTAAGCTGCTAGAGGCAACAACATTTTGTGTGAAAGGAATAAAAAGGGTAGGGCAGACAAAACATAATAATTTTTGTCAAGTATTATAGTTTTTTTATTTGTAGTTCAATTTTTTCAAACAACATATCAAAATTCACATTTTTTTTTATTATAAATCATATGATAGCAATATTACATATATATAGTTTTAACAACATTTCAACTTTCAATTGTACGAGCTTCTTAGACGCAATTGTTTTTAAATAAATTCAAGTGTTAAAATTAAAATCTCATTAAGAAATAAAAGTGACAAGAAATGAGTTGTAGATGTAGAACTTTAATTTGTTAAACTTCAAATATAAGTCTCTACTCCCATTTCACTCTCCACTAACCATTCAACCCTCTACACATTCAACCCATTCAACCCTCTACACATTCAACCCATTCAACCCTCTACACAATCAACCATTCAACCCTCTACACATTCAACCATTCAACCCTCTACACATTCTACACATTCAACCTTCTACATTAACTCATTCAACCATGTACAAATTCTAACCATTTAACCATGTACAAAAACTAAAAAATTAAAATTTTAATTGTTAAATGTTTTTAAACCCAAAACTTTTCTTAAATAATTCAAGAGGTAAAATTAAGTTCTTATGATTACTTTTTTAAAATCTTTCCGTTATTGATTTTAAAAAATAGGTATGAATTAACAGCAATAAAAATTAAACTCAGAATTTTAAGAAAAGAAATAAGAAAAGAGAAAAATACCTAGAACAAATTTTAGGTAATTTTATTATGCGTCTTCATCATGGTTCTTCATCATTGTTCAAGTTTTTTTTCGGTATGAAGAGAACGCAGAAATCAAAGAAGACGAGAATCCAAATAAACTTATTATTTCCTCCCAAAAATAAAAAAATTCATCTCATTTACACAAAATCCGCTAAAACTGTTCTGGAAATGTTAAAAAAAAAGATGATAGAAGAATCTGGAATTTCATATTCAGATCTATTCCGGATGGGAGCTTGGAGCAACCGACCGGAGCCATCCACGTCCAGCTGTGTGTCATGGACTTAAGCTTGCTGTCCACTGAAACTCCCTACACCATCTCCAGATCTCGCCGCCGCAGAGCTGCTGTCGTGAGTTGAGTTTGTCGTGCTCCAGGTACGGAAGTTGCGGCCATTAATGGCCGCCTTAGAGCTCGTGAGAGAGACGAACGAGTCAGAGTATGTGCCTTACTACTTCTGTTGCAGCACCTACTGCCTTGCTCTTGGTCACCCTCACGTATCAACGAACTGTTATAATAGCTCGACGGTCTTTGTCCGCCATTAACGGCTGCCAGAGAGCTCTCCGCTCACGACACAGGCGGTAGCCACATCGAGGGTTTCTTCTCCCTCAGTCACAAAAAACACCTTACCAAAATCAAACTGGATTTAATCCCCTCTTCGTCGGCACTAGACGGCGGCCATCAGATGGGAAGGGACGACACGATGATGATGTAGCGCAGGTCAAAACCCAACGGAGTAAAATTGATTTTCAAGCCATCCACCATAGACAAAGACAGGAAATTGTAACCCAAAAAAGAATTAAATTCTACTACATAAATATTTGAATTTGCAGTAGAATGCTCTTCAATGGAGAAAAGTTGCAGGGAAATGAAAGAGAAGGAAAGAAAGAGAAAGAAAGAAAGAGAAAGTGGAAGAAAATTGACTTGACATAAAAGAAAAAATAAGCTAAAATGAAAAATGTATAAATTGCTAAGATGACCCTGGATTTAAATGTAAATGCCAATGTTGAAAACAAAAGAATGACATGTTTAATGGGTACAAATGGAGCAATATTAGTGGTACACCTCACGGGGTACACCGGTGTAGGTTTTTTATAACCCACACCGAATGAATCGCCGGAGACCATTTATCCTCAACTTGTGTAAATATCATTATAAACTTCTTCAAAGTTTTCTAGACATTCTCATTTCTAAGTTGACACTTCTCAGCTTAAAGAGTAATAGTTGAAATGAAATTAAGAAACAAATGAAAGAGACAAAAGATTGTTTGTTAGAGAATATATGCTTATGTTACCAAAACCATATACCAAACCATTCTGCTGAGCATGAAATTCAATTATCTCTATCAGGATCATCACTTTTAACTGCCTATATCCCCATGAGTCCACCGCTCAAGTTTGCATGTGAGCTTGAGCTGATGCAGCCTT